GGGCAGGATGTGCCTTGATCACTGTTCATGTGGTATGCGCCCCAGGCACGCTGGTCTGGCCAGTTCCTGGTCCACCTCTGAGATGTCGGCCCTTCAGCCTACCAGCTCTTTTAATCTGTCCATCAACCTTAAGTAGCCTGGGTTCTTATTTTCTTTTTATGTATGGAAACTGAGGCTCCAAGAGTTCAATGATCTGCGGGAGAATCCATAATTGAGGAGCTAGGATCATGAGGTTAGAAAGCTGAGTGTGCTCCCTACCTTTGATGCTACCCCATCAGCCATCCCAGGCCCCTCTGTCATGACTTTGATCCTGATGATACAAGGCTAAGAAGGAGGAGCAGCATGTGGGAAGGCTGGAGGAAATGAGAGACTTGGCATTGTAGAACCTGATGTGATTCAGTGCAGCTGGAATTCATGGGGAGGCTTGAGAGAGGAGAGACAGGCTGCAGAAGTCACAGGTGGGCTGCCAGGAGATTCTAGTGGGAATTGTAGTGCTGTCACTCATGGAGGGGTCTCAAGCCTTGAAGGTCTGGAGTTGAGAAAGAGCATTTTGGCTGCTGCATGCTGAGTATGGAAAGGTTGACAGGGAGCTTGAGCCAGGAGGGGGAACAGAAGGAGCACAGTAGGGCGGTGGAAGAAGATGAGGCCCCAGAGAGGATGGGAGAGGATTTCAAGGAGGTAAAATCTACTAGGCTTAGTAGTGGGAATTCTGGGAGAACAGGCCTTTTGAGGTTTTGGGATCCCTGCAGTTGGGCAGAGTAAGAGGCCCCAGCTCTGGAAGAGGGGAAAGAGCAGGCTCTGAGAGCTATCTAAGTGGCCCTGTGTGATAGGCACTATCTATCCAGATGGGTATTGTGGGTGCCCAGAAATCAAAGTCTTTGAGGCAGGCAGCACAGCATGGGGCACGCGTAGGACTCTGGAGCTTGCATGCAAAGCCTTTATCTGCCACTCACTAGTGATGTGACATTGGGCAAGTCACTAAGTTTATGCTTATAAGGGACATAGAACTATTAACCCGAGTGTGTATTAAACGATTGGGATAGAACAGTAATGTGATCAGTTGTCTTAGGTAGGGTCAGATTTGCTCCCCAGGGAACCTTTGGCAATGTCTGGACACATTTTTGGTTTTCATGATTGTGGAAGGGGGGACCCTATGATAACTAGGTAGTTAGGGATGCTGCTATACAATGTACCCAACCCCCAGCAAAGGGTTATCTTGCTCAAAATGGAATAGTTTGAGAACTTCTATCTAAACATTAGGGACACAGGGTCAGTGGGCTGTTACAGTGGTTTCAGCCAAAATACATCTGGGGTTCTCATGGCGAAGGTGTGTTGGTGAGAGGGTCAGCAATGTCAAAGGGAAGATACAGGGAAGATCATGGTCAAGAGCAAGTGATCTTTTATCTTAGTGTTTCCCAGTTAATGGAGCAGTTCATGCCTTCCTCTCATTCACCTCACGCCTGAAGCTGGGTTCTAATCAGACAGGCCCACCTTTCTGAACCTCCATTTCCTCCTCTGTAAAATGGGATAGTTATACACATTCCTGGATTTTTAAGGGTTAGTTAGTTACATGTTGATGGAATGAATGAAAGAATCTATAGCCAAACCCAGTGCCTGTGTGGCACTAAGTCAATATAAAAATGAATAATATTTTGAGTAAAGAGAAGCTTATAGAGAGTCTACGACATATTGAAGGTCACTCAGGGCAAAAGGGAACCTGGATCACGTCTGGTAACTATTGTCTAGTGCTTATTGCACCTCCCGGTGATGAAAAAATATGGTTCTGACGTGAATACTGACTGATATTATCATTTATATTAACCAGTACTTTATATTAAGAGAACTTCAGCCATTTGTTAAGGTCATGAGGAACGTTTTTACTGAGTCAGATAATAAGTTTCAAATATCAGAAGAGTATTTACCCAGTCTTTTGGCACTATTCACAATGAAATGGCTGTAGGCACAGCACATTTTCAAATATAATCCACATAATTACTTTCTTAAGTCTAGACAACAAAACAATAAATCATGCCTGATTTGTAGCATTTGCCAATTGATCTCAAGCTATCTCCATGATGTCCTTGAACATGGCCTGGGAAGAAGTACAATTCACTCCCGTGGGGTGTTTCTGTCATGGATACAATGGATGCAAAAGTATAGACAATAGTAAAATCTAGTAAAAGAGTGAGGACATGATGAATTTTGAGTATTTATTCCTTTTTGTTGAATATAATTTATTTACTCAAAAGCTTTTATCATTTAATTTAAAAAACTCTCTTGTGTTTAACAACCAGCTCATACCATTTCTAGAAGTTTAAGAGTTGGCTCTGGTGCATGTTCACTTGGGCTACTATGCCCTGAGGCAAGGCAGGGAGGCCCCTTTCTCCTGGCTTCCCCAGATAGTTCTCTCTCCATTCAGTTCACGTGACCTCTGCTGCTCCATCTCCTTTTCATGGACATTCTCCTTTTCTTAGATGGCAAAAGCAGAAACTCCCCAAGATCAAACCTGAAATTCCGCTTTGATAAGCTCAGCCATGCCAGCTCCAGTGCGGTAAGGATCTGGGTGTGAGGACCACCCCACATCCCAGTCCCCTCCAAAAGCCAGCTTTCTTTCCTGTGGGCTGGAAGGGGAGCATGTCTCAGACATCACATGGTGGTTCCCTGAGAGGGGAAGGGGGGTTCTTGTCAGATCTGGGGGTGATACCACCTGTCCCCCCATGGTGTAGGCATCAGCCAGGGGTTCATCAGCTACCTTTTCCACACCTTCCACATTTGAGCCACCACTGGACACAGCTGTGTCCAGATCTGCAATGTGAACCACTGTCTCCTGGGGCCCCTGTCCCTTCCTAAGCTCACCAGATTGTTGAGAGGAGAGTGTGCAGAGGCTGCAGGTGGAGCAGATTGCTATCTTGTTATTTAAAACTCTTGTATGGATGTTTCTTGAAACAGGGTCACTAATGGAAAGTGGAGTCCTTTGCTTGTCCAAGGTAAGTATTTGTTTTGCAGTGGCCACAAGGAGAGTTGTGTATTCCTTTCAGATCAGGGTACCAGCTAGGTGTAGTGGCACACGCCTGTAATGTCAGCCACCTGGGAGGCTGAGGCAGGAAGATCACAAATTCAAGGCCAGGCTCAGCAACGTAGTGAGACCTTCAGCAACTCAGCAAGACCCTGTCTCAGAATGAAAAATAATAAGGGCTGGGAAAGTTGCTCAGTGGTTGAGTACCCCTGGGTTTAATCCCTAGGAACAACCCCCATCAGAAAAAAAGATCAGGGTGCTGGTGACCTTATGACCTGAGAAGGGTCATAGAGATGCTACCAGCTGGGGAGGTCCACACAGTGGCCTTATCTCCAAACATCCATGATGGGCTTCCCCAAGTCTATGAAGGGAAGAAAGGGAGGATGCCTTGGGTGTGGAAGAGAGGGGATACCCAGTGGGATTGGTGCAGTTCACTACAAAGGTCTCCCCCAAACTGGTGAGAGTCTGATTGCAGCAGGTGGAAGGGGTCAAGGCCAGAGCCCATTTCCTTTCCCGGAGGGAGGAGTTTCTCAGCTCACCTGTTGCTTCCCTGATCTTAGGTAGCCTTTCCCTCCTTGTGTCTTTGGCCAAGGCTCTAGGCTAGAATGTGTCCTTCCTCCATGCCAAGAGATGCCCTTGCTCAGGAAAAAGTGTAAAGGACAGCTTCAGGGAGACTTCTGCTCTCAGCCTCTGCCCAGGGGTTCATGTGGTTCCAGCAGAGCAGAGCAGGAGTCCTCCACGATTAAGTTTCAGCTCCTACTAGTGAAGACACCAGAACCCATCTGAACTCCTGACCCTCCCCCACCTGGAATCGCAGGTGGACTGAGTCACATTAGGGACCATGGAAAAGGGCACATTAAGCCTGTTTATGAGAAAACAGAAGAGAAAATGGGAATGTCAACATTCACCTCTAACATCTATCATGGGCTTCAGATACTTCTCTTTACCAAAGTAATGTTCATACCCAACTGCCAGGGCTGTGTAAATGAAGTCAGGGACCCTTATGTTGGACACCCTCCTTGTCCTAAGTGCAGCTGGTGGGCTGTGGCTACGTAACGGTGTATTTGTCTTTTCTGCTTTTATGGAATGCTCGCTCATCTTTTCGCTTCCCCTTGTCTTCTGCAGGGAAGCCCAGTTCTGTCCTGTAGAAGGCTCCTGTTCCAGCAGTTTGGGGGTGCCATCTGCTACTCTGACCATCACAGGCCTGTTGCCCTACCGGCCACCTGCCCATCAGACCGGCTTCCTGTGCCATGTCCCAACCTGACCACGGCCCTGCTGGCTCCTTTATCAACATACCCTGCAAGAATCTTCCCATTTCTGGACAAGGCTTCATTCCTGGAGGCTCCTCTGCTCTTGACCTCCAGCTGTGATGTCTGTCTGGGTCATTTGTCATCATCTTGCTTTGTCTGTAGGAGAGAGAGTTGGGCAAGAGGGGATCTAGGTATGGGAGCTCAGTCAGAGACTGGGGAGCTCATTTGCATCAGAGGCAGAAGGTGATGAGGTGGAGAGCAGAGGTGATAGCAGAACATAAGGTGGGCCCTGTCTGTCCTTGGTCACAGTGCAGTGCCTTCCTGGATTGGCAGACAGAAGCTTCACCACCACCAGTGCATTTAGTGACCTAGTGGAGGTAGAGGGGCTGCTTTCCCAGGAGCCAAGACTAGCAACATCTTGGAGGTTGTCCTGATAAAAATAGGCTCTAAGCTAGGTGCATACCTGTAATTCCAGCAACTCTGGAGGCAGGAAGATTGAAAGTTCAGGACCAGCCTTGGCACTTAATGGGACTTTTTCTCAAATTAAAAAATTAAAAGCACTGGGGACGTAGCTCAGTGATAAAGCAACTTTGGGTTCAATCCCCATCCCCCTCCACCTACCCCACCAAAAAAAAACCTACATTGGTCCCAGATATCTGGAACTCCAAACATATACTTGCTTTTGTGCTAAACATTTCTGATCTAGTCCCAGGGACAGGTCCAGGGATGCTGTCATCCCTGTTGCTAGGGGCTTAGGCTTGTGGAAGCACAGAGACTGAGCTGGTTATATCTGAGACCTGGGCTACACACTTCCTTGATTGTAGCTGAAACTTTTTTCCCACTAATTTTATGCAGATTCCTGACTATCCTTGATGTGGGAGAAGCCCCAGAAAATCTTGCCCCTTTGACCAGACATTTTGTTTCCCTAGGAACAGCTGGGAAGCCAGGAATGAGAAGGAGTTCTGAGAGAGGGAACAGGCTAATGCTGGGCATCTGAGGAAAACCACAGGGTCTAAGGGCTCAGCCAGCCTCTACTGGGTCCCAGTCTCCACTGGTTGTGGAAGACATAGTTATTTCAATCCCCCCATGGGTGAGAGGGGAAGAGGTGAGCTGGGGGTATGACGTAGCAGATTCTGGTCAGGCCAATGTGTGGGGGTTGAACTTAAGTGTGGGAAAGGAATGCAGTGTCCCTCAGACCCTGCATGTCCTTGGCATCTGTGGAGTGTCTAGTGCAGCCTTGGGAGCTGCTTCCATTTACCGTGCCCTCTGGGCATGTCTGGGTCTCCCTCCCCCAAGCCTCTTACCCTTTCCAATCAGAGCCACTTTCTCTGGGATGAGCCAGCTGTCCTGAGGGACAGCCCCCTGGCATCTCACCTGTCTTAGTCTGCAGGGTGTTTTTGCTGCTGGGTTTAGGGTGAGGCACCCTCCAAGTCAAACACAGTCTGAACAGCAGACCCTGGGTGGTGCTGCAGCTTGAAGCGCACAGGGCCTCTGGCATAGGTGGTACCGTGCTACTGAGGTGTGGCTGGCTGGGCTCCCCATTTAAACGAGCAGATGACAAGATTTCTAATCGAGTGCTTTATCTACACAAGGATTTGGACCCAATCCCAAGTCAAAGCATAGAAATGCAACACATTTTTTTTTTTTGGACTGATATTTCTTCCTTACTTTTGCCATTAGTGCAAAATTTTGATCTTTCATTTCCCACTCTCGTGTTGGATCCTGTCTGCAGACTGGGAGTGACTGCACCCCTTAGCCTGTGTGGGACATGTGCTTACATAAAGTACTAGTCTGGTAAGATTTATTCTAGTTAGAAGGTCAACAAAAGTTCTGTTTAGCTGAAAGTCAGTGTAGCGGCACCCACTGCTGGAACGAGGCCTGCAGGTCTGGCGGCTTTCTGTTGGCCGGGTTTCTGAAGGAGCTTGAAAGGTCGAACTGCATTTCTTTGAAAATGATTACAGGCTTCTGGCTCGCCTCTCTGGGTGGCTAGTATTTACAGTTGGTTGTGCCATGTTATATTGCATTCTGGGGTCCTCTGAGGTTTCCAGATTGTCCCCATGCTGTCCTGTATGGAATGTCATTCCTCCCTGTCTCCATTGCTCTAACTGCTCCCTCTGCAGCCACTATGTACCTGCTGGGCTTTGCCCCTGGCTCTGGGACAGTGGGCAGGATGGCTGAGTGTGTTCAGAAAAACAGACACAGGTTTGCTCCTGAAGACGTAGAGATATGGGAGGTGGTCTTCACCCTGGGCTTGCTGTTGGGGTACTCTGGGTAGGATCTGAGCTGCCACCTTCCTCTAGGTCATGCCTGTCTATCTTTAGAAAGTCCATTTATTGGCTTCCAGAGTGTGCATTATCTACCTACCTGAGGTCATAGTGGAGACAGGGAAGATGTGGATGGGAATGTGGCCCAGTCTCCCCTCACTCTCCTGGACCATGGGCAGCAGCTCAGGTTCTTGGAGGGCTGTCCCCCACCTTACCCCACATTCTGATCCACCATAACTATCCTTTTATTGCTACACTCAGTCTTGGGGCTCAGAGACTTGCTGAAGCCCCCTAAGCCCTTATGACTGAATTTGTGTAGATGATGCTTATGTTGGTATTTGGGGGCGTTTCCACTATGACCTCCATGAGAGGTTCTCCCGGGCACATCTCTGTCTCTGGGGACCACCTAATTCACAGAGGAAACTACACTTTGCAGGTGCTGTTGGGCGCCCAGATGTCTCTAGCTCCACTGATGCTTGAAAACAGCTGCAGAAAAACTTGAGATAGAAGGTCTTAGGTGGAGTTTCTGCCTCTGCTAATGAATGTCAAATGGTGTTTCTTAGAAAATATGTGGTTCAGTTTTTTGGGCATAGTCTTGAAGCCCAAGCCTTCCGTCTTCTTTTACCATCTCATTCAACCATGTCATGACCCACATGTGAAACCTTAGCCCCAGTGAACCCATAGCCAGCTAGTGGCAAAGCTGAGACTAGAACTCACAGCCCAGGGTTCTGTCCTCTGCACCAGCTGTGCAGCTGATAGAGAAAGTGGCTGGACCTTCCAGGTTTGGGGGAAGCCATGTTGGGAGGTACAGCACCTGGTGGGTCCTTGGTCTCTGCTATTTTCTGTCAGGAGGGCTCTTCTCTTGGATTGATCAGTGAGGACCCCGGGATTTGATTTGAGCAAAGAGAATGGAGAGGAAAAGGGATTCCAGGGAACTCCTCAGTGACCTGTGGTCTTCAGCTCCAGTCTATAAGGTGGCGGAGGCCAGGGCACAGATGCAGTTCACCACCCTCAGCCTCCTTGCTGCAAATTAAGACAGAAGGTGATAAGAGAAAACTCTCTCATCTCTCTCAGATTCTTAAAGGAAAGTGATTAATAGGAACCTAGGTTCAATTGATCAGCCGGGACATGGCCTATTTCACTTTCCTTACCTTGACCCTAGAAGGTGCCAACTCAAACACTACCTTTTTCATTTGTTTCTTAGTCTATAGATTCAGCTGTGTTGTGGGGAATGGTGGGGGATTCAAGTAGATCTTACAGCTCCAGGGGCTGGAAGGGACCAGGCCAGTCATCCATGTTCAGGACCCTCTGGCTCCTCCCCCACTCCAGCTACTCCTTATCAAAGTCAAGGGCAGGACAATGAAGTTTGCCAAGGCTGCCCCTGCAGCTTGGTGGGGGCCTGTGGGGGCATTCCTCTACCCAGTTCCAGTATCTGTTTTACCATCAGCCCCTCGTCCACCCCTATTCCCACCCCTCTCCTTTCTGCTGGGCCATGTACCCCTTTGTGAGGAAGAAGATACCCTCACTTAGGGCCACAGGCAGCTGAGTCCTGCCTACTGAGAGGCTGTTGGGACAGAGGCTCTGTCCTGTGCCTTATCAGCCCTGGGGAGAGGATGTTTGGCTGGAAGACTGGAATTTAATTGCCATTGTCTTTGATTTTGTGATATTTCTGCTTGGAGGGGTGAACCCCCGCTTCCCACTCTTTAGCATGTGTGCCAACTCTCCCCTGTCATGGGTGTTACCCTTCAACACTCCAGCTCAGGGAGTGCTGACGTCCTCATGTGAAGAGATTCCTGTGTGACAGAACCTAAGAAGTGTAGCTTGGAAGTGACCCCTGTGACGATGACGTTTCTTTCTTTCCTCTTAGTGAGGAGGTGATTTGTAGACCCTGACTGCCTATGTAATGTAAATAGTGTACATTTAATTTATTGCTATGGTAGCATATTGTATTTGTTAATGTATAAAACAAATTCTAAAAGGTTGACAAATGTATATTTTGTTGCTTAAATGTGTCTTTGCAGAAATTGACAATAAATAACATATTTTGTGTCCATCAGTGTTCAAACTTCTTTTGCGGATGGCCCCAGGCCTGGGTATCACCTTTAAGTTCACTGGAGGTTGCATATTAGCTGGCCTATGGATTTGTTAACTTTGGCTTGAAAAGCATTGAAATTTTTTTAAAGATGAGTCATCAATGTTTCAAAACTAATCACAACTTTCAAAAATATATCTAGAAATTTCACATAAAAATCTCAATTTTCTGTTTCTCTTAAAAAATCAGATGCTGAATCTACTTCTCAGGTGTGAGTTCATCAGAGCTCACTGGAGTCTGTCTTTTTCGGGTGGGACCTGATTACACCACAGTTTTCACCATTCTTTATTGTCCACCTCTGGACCATTTTACTCTTTCCCATTATTTGTTTGCATCTATAGGTATGAGTTTAGACCCTGATATTCACTGATTTATCTCTATCCTGCAATTTTCTTCCTTTTTCCAACTTTCTCAAATTACTGATTCACTTATTTAAGGATTCTTTCATAACCAAAAAACCTGTTCCTGTCCTTCTTTGACCCCCAAATGGTCACCCCCCCCTTTTTAAAAAATATTTTTAGTTGTGAGTGAACACAATATGTTTATTTTTATGTGGTGCTGAGGATCAAACCCAGTGCCTCACACATGCCAGGCGAGTACTGTATCACTGAGTCACAGCCCCAGCCCCGGCCATACTCTTTTATACACTCTGCTTTACACTGTTTGGGTCTAGATATAGAAGTAATACCTGTAAATAATTTCTTTTTCTTAAGAAGATTGAAGAAAAGGAACAAATCTTTGAATATCTGACAGGGATTCATTTTGTGATCCTGAACAAATTACTTCCCTTGATTTGCATTTTCTTTTATGTATATTCAGAAATCTAACCCATGTGTAAAGCATAAAGATAAAAATGAATTCATAATTGGAGAAGAGCTTTGAAAAAAAGATGGCAAGTATTATTCAATCACCAGAAGTTCAATAATAATGATGATAACCATGGCACCAGATGACATTTATTGCTAGCTGACCATGTGGTAATTGTTTTACATATGTAGTTAGTTTTGTTATGACATTCTAGTTCCTAAAAATAACACTTCATGAAAAAATGCAACCACAGGACTAATAGGAAAAAGTGGGGGTAGGTGCATAATACTCAAAAACTTTATCAGTGACACATAAACATAAAAGGTTATGTTTATACCATACTTAATAAAAATGGTAATAATTTTGTACATGTTGATGGTTAGGAAATACATAAATATTATAATATATAAGGCATTTGAGCTTGAAAAAGGCCTGAAGTTTGCTTGTGGAGGTGGGTGTTAGAAGGGTTGCCACTTACGAATTATTATGAAGACGTAGAGGGGATGTTTTTCTGAAATTGGATGGGTGATGATAACACCAGATATGGATGGGTGTGGCTATAGCACACATGGTATGCAGAGGTAGGTGGTAGATGTTTGAGGTGCATGTATGTTTTGTGTGTGCCTGTAAAGTTCAGTTTAGCTGGGTCCAGTTTTCTACTTTTACATATTTGAATTGTGAAATCAAAAGTACAATTTGCATTACACTCAAGTCATTCCCTATTATATCAATTGTGTTGGTGTATTTATTTATTTATTGTAGTACTGGAGATTAAACACAAGGGCACTTTACCACTGAACCATGTCTCCAGCCCTTTTTATTTTGAGTCAGGTTCTCACTAAGTTGACCAGGCTGGCCTTGAACTTGAGATCCTCCTGCCTCAGCCTCCTGAATAGTTGGGATTACAGGTGTGCATCATCACACTCAGGGAAACCCCTTCTTAAAACAAGTGTCATAACAGAACTGACTCTATTCTCATTTAGTTATCCAAACAACCCATGAACATGTGTTATTATTTCCATTTAACATAAGGGCTCAGAAGCAATCCAGTTTGGAACCCAAATCTAGTAGGCTGATGTCAACATGAAGGTAAGTTCTAGACTGTTGGGGGTTCTGAATTGTCGCGACCCCCCTTGCCCGCAAGGAAGACGCGACTCAGGAATCTTCTTTCAGCAGTTTATTCAGGCCCTTGATATTCTTCTAATAATTCTTCTAATAATCCTCGGATGCCCCTCCCAGCCTTAATAAAGCACCGCGAACCCCAATGCGAAGCTGCCACGTGGACCCTTCTCACAGGGTGCTAGAAAACGACACGCCAACTTTCTCTGATAAGGAGCTGACAACACGCCAACTCTCTTTGATATGGAGTTGTCCTTCACAGACCACAGCGGAGCCAGCGCCATCATGTAATGGCGACCACAGTCCACAGGAACGGCTCACCACACTGAATGCATACAAATGCTCCAGGTAGAGTGCATACCAGTTTTCTCTGGTTTCCCTGCCCAGTTGGCAGTCCCTGTTCTGGAACCCATGTCTGTACCCTTCTGGGCTGGGGCCATTCTACTCATGTTAAGCAGCACCTCTCTGAGCCTGTAGTGTAAGGCTTCCTATTTCTCAGCATTTTAGATTCCTGCTGTTCTATCACCATGGCTGCAAGTGAAGCCTCATCTTTCACACAAACACTCCAGGTCTGTCTGTACCTCATGGTTTGGCTGCTTCTTGGGTTCAGCCTTTCTTTCCAGAAGCTGAGACGTCACTTATGGCTGGAGGCTTGTAGAGATTGAACACTTCTTGTCTGTGTGAGAAAGTGCTGTAGGGGCATGGATGCCATTCAGCTGGGCCAACGACTGTCCCTCCAAACCTTCAGACCCTGCTAGTGCTCTGAAAGCTCACCTGTTAGTCTAGGTATCTTCCTTCAGATGTTCTCTCCCACAAGGTGGGCACTCCTCCAGGTTGAGGGCTCAGTCTTAGGACTCTAAAAAAAATCTGTTCATTGACCTCAGGGTCCAACAGCTTACAGCAATCATTGGTGTGTGTTGGGGGATTATTCTGCCTCCTGCACAGGGGAAGGCTTTGCTGAGGAGTATGGTCAGGCTGTGCTCAGGTTTCCCCCGAGTCTTATTTTTTGAGTGCCTGTTGTGTCCTAAGATGCTACTGACCAGCTGTGTGCTGACCAGCCTTTCTCTGCCCTCTGGGCTTCTGAGTCCAATAATGACATCATGGTCTATTTCTGTAATGTTGCACTATCAGTTATTAAAACAATCCCATTTCATTCGTGCCAAGTCTTGTTTGTTTTAAACATCACATTCAATTCAGAGCTGTCCCCGCCAATCTTTAGGGTAGGCTGGCCTGGTAAGACCAGTCTTTTGCTTTGGGACTCCCTTGTTGACTGACGTTTACTCAGGCTCCTGAGTCTCTTTTTGGCTCAGTCTTACCCTTAAGCCCAGTTTTAGCTAAGAGTCCTGCTAAACCAGTTGGAGAATTCCCTAGCCTAGATATCCAAACCAGGTGCTCACCCTTCACTCTTGATACCTAACCAAGTTCCTCTTGGTAATTTTACACTTTAGAGAGTCAGCCTGAAAGTTGGTTAGAAATCCTCACTTGTCCCTGTTATGTTCAAGGTTGGGTTCAATCTCTCACCTCTATCTCAATGGTTTGGGATAAATTCTTCCTTGCCTGTTTAACTCTGGTGCAATTTGCCTTTGCTAAGTGGTTGGTCTGCCCTCCCACCAACACTCCCTAACTCTTCCACACTTCCACACTAGAGAGGAGGAGGGCAAAAAAGACCTCTTGTTTTGGGACTGTCCCTGGAAAGACACAGGGTAGTTTTCATACTCTGAGAAGCAGACACCAAGACCGGAGTGACACATTTATTAGGGGAAAGACCCTTGAGAAAGTGAGGAAGGAGCTGGAGAAGGTGGAAAGCTGCCTCCTGTGAGGCAGGTCTGACCTTGAATGAAGGAGAAATACAGGATGGAAGGTTGGGCTGAGGTGTCTGAGTTCTAAGATGAGTTCAACAAGGTCACTGGGGAGTCCTCTAGCCAGAGTTCTTCACCTGAGGATTCCCGAATGGTTCTAGGAGGAGACTAAAATTACTACCCCTGCCACGCTCAGCCATTGGGTGGGAGCAGCAGGAAGCCTGGCTTTGGTGAAGTTCCAGTCCAAACCTAAGGCCCCAGAGCTGGTAGGCTGATGTTATAAGTCCTGGTCTGAGTCTGAAGCCCTGAGAACCAGGAATGTTGATTGAGGGCAAGAGAAGATGGATGTCTCTGCAGCTTGAGCAGAGACAGCAAACTGCCCTCCTCAAGCCACTTTATGTTCTTTTCAGACCCTCAACAGATTGCTGATGCCCACTTGCATTAGTGAAGGTGATTATTACTCAGTTTACTGATTCAAATGACAGCCTTTCCTGGGAGCACCCTCATAGACACACCCAGAAATCATGCTTTCCCAGCTCTTTGGGCACTCCTTAACCATCACACATGTCAGACGCAGCTCCTCTTCATAGAGCCAGTCCTCCCCTTGTGTTGCCTGGGGAATGAGGGGGGAGTGTGGGTTTCATTGCTGGTCCTGATCCAGTGGTGCCTCTCTGCACATCTGCTGGGGGCTCTGTGGCTGGTTCCAGAGACTCTGATGGTTCTCTGAATTTAGAATGTGAATTTGATGGGTCATTGTTATGGTTCTACATCTCCCCTCAATAATTTAATGGTTCACCTTGACATGCCCTGTTTATGGGAACCACAGATAAGTTCCAGAGAGAAAATCCAAGACAGTGATAGAACCTAAGAGCAATGATCAGAGAAGGGGACTTTCAGTCTCCATTTCTCCAGGTAGAGATGATGCCTCCTGGGAGTCAGGGTCTGGAGAAATTTGTAGAAGTTATCTTTAATTTTAGACCAGACCCATGGCTGAGTCATTCTCAGAACTGATACTGTACTTTGCATGAACATCATGTAGGGAAGCCTTCTTCTCTAGAAGTTCAGCTTCAGGGTACATAAAAATCACCCAGAGATTTTGTTAAAAAGGCAGATTTCAAGCACCGCTCTAGAGTTTACAATTCAACTGATCTGGGTGGGGCTTAAAAATCTGTATTTTAAACAAGCACATGGGGGATTCTGCTGCAGTCTTTCACTGAAACCCAGGTCGCAGTCTAT